GAAGAAGAAGAAGAAGAAGAAGAAGAAGAAGAAGAAGAAGAAGAAGAAGAAGAAGAAGAAGAAGAAGAAGAAGAAGAAGAAGAAGAAGAAGAAGAAGATAATACTAGAACGAGGACTCTGATGATTGTTAACCTACATCAGTGTCTCAAATTTCGGTGAGTTGCCAATCTTGAATTGGATTTGTCTGTAATTTGTTAATCAATGTTCCACCTCGCCGTGCTGTCTGATGGGTTAATCCCTAATACTCAGTCGCTGCAGTCATTCCTTGAAGGCACTTTGACAGCTTCTTCCCACAATCTAATTATCGGGATGTCCAAAAACTGAAAACCCCGAGGCGGGCACGTTATTCTGTATCGTGCCGGTCGTCAAAATTATTTAAGAAATAGAATAAGAATAATTTTTAAAACATGGGGAAAAGAAGGTATGATTTGTGAGACAGCGTGGTGGAATCAGGCTCTCGTCAATTTTTGAGCATGTAGAGTTATTGGTACCATCTAAAAGCTTGTTCATTTGACTTTCTTTGGGTGAAAAAAGTATCCATTTATCTTGAATACAATTCGAGATATTTGCGAATGAAGGGGGTGGAGGTCACTTGTTTTTAGGGGTAAGATTAGTGAGAAAATGGCCGCCAAAGATGAGTTCTTTCCTTAGCTTAAGAGTCCGTGGAAACTGAAAATGTACACTTTTTGTACCTTTAATCAACGTTTTTCAGAAAAATCCTCACAGAAGTGATTTCTCTAATGGGCATGAAAGGTGTTGAGTCAAAGAACAAAAGTTTAATAAAAATTCAGAAACCTGTGGAAAAATGCATGGTTTTTTTCACTTTGATTATTTTGACCAGAGCCTGATTCCACCACGCTGCCTCACATTTGTTCTCCTTACAGAGTTGTTGTTTTTTCCTTATGTCTTTTTTTTTTTTGGTTGGTCTTTGTTCTTGACTTCTTTCCAAAACCAATTTACACGTGTAGTTTTACTGTTTTCTGTTAAACTGAACATTTTGTTGGGGGTGCTGTGGGTGGTTGGTGGGTGCTCTGGTGTGGTTTGTTTCTTCTTTTCTATCAAACATCTATCGTCCTTATCTCCCCTCCTTCTTTTTTCTGTTTGTTACTCTCTTGTAATACCTTTAATCTTCGGCATTTATATGACCTTATTGTGTTGCGAGTGCCATAAAACACTTACTAAAACTAATAGTTAGGGGTGGTTGGGGAGCCCAACAGGTAAATCCTACTTTTTTCCTTGGCCTGACTAACGCTTTATAGATGTGGCAATGAAATTATGTTACAGACTGTGCTCCGATTTTTCAATGAGACCAAAAAGAGTTTTCGTAGTCTTGTATGATGACTCTACTAGGACTGAATCATTAATGACTGCATCACACTACTTTTGAAACTACTTATGTATTTTTAGACAGATTTAAATGTGTGTTTTTTTGTATAAGACGTGGGGGGGGGGGGTTCATATTCTTTTTAATTTCAAATATTTACTTTTTGGTGACATGTTGTCCTGCTCCACCGAAGTTTGCCTCCGAATTTTAATTATATTTGCAAAATTGATAGCCCAGAGGCATGTCTTTGTCATATTGATGGATTTTGTCTTAAATATATGTTTGTAGATGTTATTCTATATCGATATTAGGGTAACTGTCATCAAAAATGACTTTTTAATGGAGACAACGTTGACAAACCATACCTCAAAACTTCGTCTCTGCATGTGGGATCGCATAGCTTTACTATGGGGGAGCAAACGATAACACCTGCTGTGATACTGCATGTCGTGAGAGGCGAATAAAGGTGAGTAGGTCTGACCTCCTCAAGTACCAGTTTGTGACGGGGCTACAGAAAACCTTTGCAAAAACTGAATGTTACAGACACACAAATAAACACGTCTATATGAGCTTTATCTTATTAGACAGGGGAGCTTCTGCACCAGCAGGAAGAATAAAGGGCAAAGAACAAAGCCGAAGGGATTCTCCTGGCCCGAAACCTTCTCTGTCAAACTCAAAAAGTCTCTCCGATTGTGTCATAGAATGCTCTCACCATGTATGAAGCAGGAAAGAGTTCTCAGGTCTCACAAGAGATGAAGCGATACAGACTGCACAAACTAAGAGGCAACAGAACCCAGTGGATAGGACGAGGACAGAAGCAGCTCAGTTCGAGGGAACAATTATTGTATTATGGAAGAGAAGACAAAAGTCATGCGGAAGGAGTTGGAATAATTTTGAGTAAGGGAGCCGTACGGGGAGAGGATCATCAAGGCTTCGTTCTCTATAATGAGTAAGAGCATTAAAAAATTGATATTGTCCAGATCTACACTCCAACAAATGATACTTGGGACGAAGACAATGATGCCCTTTACAGCCTGTTTCAGGTGGTCATTGACAAACTACCAAGGAAGAACATGGGCTTCGTAATGGGAGATGCTAATGCCAAGATTGGTCAGGTCAACGTAGGTTATGAGAAAATTATGGGACAACATGGCTTGGGGCAAATGAATGAGAACGATAAGCGATTTGCAAATATATGTGCTTTCAACAGTGTTGTCATTGGGGGCTCTGTTTTCCACACAAGAGGGTCCACAAGGCTATCTGGGTATAATCAGATGGAGAGACGGAGAACTAGGTAGATCATTTTTGTTTCTCTCGTAGGTTCGGGCATTCACTGGAAGATGTCATAGTACATCGAGGGGCAGACGGTGTTTCGGATCATCGTCTACTCCTAGCTAAACTCAAGCTTCGTCTCAAAAAGCACGGAATCAGAGCAGTAACCCAAAAAAAAAAAAAAAAAAAACGAAGTTCCAAGTAAGTCTCTTAGACGGACACAACAAAGAGGAGTTTCAGCTGCAATTATTGAGGAACAGGTTTCAACCTCAGGCTGATTTTGGTAGGGGGGGGGTAAGGGGGCATGGAGACGGAGGTGCACTGGACCAAGGACAAAGAAGTCTTTGCTTAAACATGCCAAGGAGTACTCGTAGGAGTAGCATTTTGACAAGAAGATATAATACAAAAGATGGCGATATATATCAATCATGACAAATATGTACTCGTTCATTTTTTAAAATGTTACCAAATGACTTTTGCACAAATAGTAACATACAATCGAAGTTTTGAGTCCCCAGGTCCAGTAATAACTATGTATTTTACCTCTGAAAGTACTCTTATAACTGCCAGTTGATTTGCATCTTCTTTTTCCATCTATCGGTCTCTAGTACCATGTCTGATAAGGCAACTTTGTATCTGGCATCCTCAAAGCATATCCCTAATATCTCCATCGTCTCCATGTTATTCTCGTTTTATCCAATCACAGCTCTTTCCAATACTGAAGAATTTGTGATAGAATAATTCCATTTTATCATTAGAATTGTGGTAAGTATCTTGTTGAAAACTTTGTCTTTCGTTTGGGTCCAAATCGTTGAGACAGAATTATGATACCGCCTATGTGTAAGCAGGGCTACAACAGCCCCTTTTTCTGGTATACGACCAACGAATGTATCTGCCAGATTGGCCTTCTACACACCGTTTAAGTATTCCCAAGTGCACTGATGCCAACAATCTCATATTACATACTATCTATGCCTAACTATTGTGTCATCGTCATTGATGCACTGATGTCAACGATCTCATACTATCTTTGCCTAACTATTGTGTCATCGTCATTGGTGCACTGATGTCAACGATCTCAAATGCTATCTATGCCTAACTATTGTGTCATCGTCATTGATGCACTGATGTCAGCGACGATCTCATAGTATCTATGCCTAACTATTGTGTCATCGTTATTGATGCACTGATGTCAACGATCTCATACTACATACTATCTATGCCTAACTATTGTGGCATCGTCATTGGTGCCCGTAAAGTAGACCATAAGCAGAACTAGATGACCCTGTTTAATATTTACATAGCGCTACAAGTATGTGTCTCTCCTGAAGCCGCAATAATAAACAGAACATCCGCTCGCCTGGCAGGAAATTTGATGTTGCAGATAAATGTTGAAAATTGGGCGAAATGTAAGGCGGGAGGTGTGATCAGCAGCTCTGATATGAGATCTGCACGCACAGATTGGTGCTCTCGTAAGTAACAGCGAATGATATGTTGTTGTTGTTGTTGTTGTTGTTGTTGTTGCTGCTGTTGTCGTTGTTGTTGTTGTTGTTTTTGTTGTTGTTGTTGTTGTTGTTTTTGTTGTTTTTGTTGTTGTTGCTGTTGTTGTTGTTGTTGTTGTTGCTGTTGCTGTTGTTGTTGTTGTTGCTGTTGTTGTTGTTGTTGTTGTTGTTGTTGTTGTTGTTGTTGTTGTTTGAGTCAAGAGAAGCACCTCCACACACGATCGGTATGTTGGTGTTTGTGAAAGGTTAGTTTGATATACCGAGACAAGAGAAGAAGAGTCAAGAAATACGACCAAACAGTGACACCCTCAAACCATTTGTAAATCAGGTACGCTTCATTTGCTTTCTCAAACTATGAAAAAATTCGGTCTTCACCCAAACTAGGCCATTATCTGGGACAATGAAAAAGTCCCGGTGAACAGAATGTCGTCCATAGCTTAGTGGTTAGGTTTCCGGACCTGTAATTGTGAGATTGCAGGTTCGGAGGTTCGAGCCTCAGCTCAGTCCGACGTACATTGTGTCCTTGAGAAAGGCACTTTACATGAATGTCCCTTTGGGCTCAGTCTTTTCCGAGATATACGTTAAACTCATTAAAACTCAAAGATCCCACCTCTTAAATACCTAATAATGTTGACAGGACATTAAACATAAACCGTTTCACCTTTTTATACTGGTCAACAGTTTCATAGTTCATCAATCATACTACAGACTCTTAACAACATCGACTTCAGTTCCTCCAGATTCGAATTTGAATCTTTGAAATTTTATGCGAAGCCGAAGTCAAAAACAACTGTTAAACACATTATTTAAATTCGTACATGGCGTGTGGACTGTGCGACCAAAAACTATTCTCAGTCAGGGTTTCTCAAAGCTCCTTGGCGGTAGCTAAAAATAGGGTAATAGATTCAGTAAGAAAAGTAAAGCTCACATTGAACTTTTGATTGACCTAGAAAGGTCAAGTTGGGAAGGGAGATTAGATGGGTGAAGGGCAAAAAGAGAGTGAGCGGGTGTTGTTTGAAGAAGATTGAATTTACTTCGGACGAGAAAAAAACAAACCAGCATACATAGAAGAACAAGCTGCTGGAGCCCGAGAAGCAGCAAACAGGAAGGACATGCGAGAATTATTCCAGATTGTAAAAAGACTAGCTGGAGACTTTGGAAAATCATCAGAGGGAAAAGTAGAAAAGAAAGATGTACATTTTTGGAATTGTGATCAATTTTGAAATCAGACAGAGTAGAAACAATGAAACAGGCATTGAATGGATAAATGGCACATTTTAGGAGACTAAGATTTTGCTGATGGCATCTGCCTTTTAACCACCACAGTACATGAAATGTAGTCAAAAACAAATGAACTAGCAAAACTGTGTGAAAACTTGGCCTTATAGTAAATGTATCTAAAACAGATGGACTGCGAACATCATTAGAAAATGCGCCCATCACTTTTTATGGAGAACCCCTTGCAGAAATTAGTAAGTTCAAGTACCTTGGCAGCATCATATCCAATACTGCAGACTGCTTGACAACCTCCACCAAAGATTTAAATGCGTAAATCACTTTTGTGAAATTGACAACTATATGTGAGGCATCCTGGGGAAATCAGGCGTTTGTCAAAATAATGAAATTGAAGATACTGGCATTTCTCTTCTTGTTTTGCAATTTTTATCAAATTTGAGTTCTTTAGCTCAACAGGTTTTACGTTCATTCAGAAACATATGTGAGGCAGCGTGGTGGAATCAGGCTCTCGTCAAAATAACCAAAATGAAGAAACTTGCATTTTTCCGCAGGTTTGTGAATTTTTATTAAATATTTGTTTTTTGGCTCAACACTTTTCATACCCATTAACGAACTCATTTCTGTGTGGATTTTTCTTAAAAAAACGTTGATTAAACTCACAAAAGTTGTAAATTTTCAGTTACCACGGGCTCTAAAGCTATAGAAATAAGTAATCTTTGACGGCCATTTTCTCACTAATTTTACCTCTACAAACAGGTGACCCACACCTCCTTCATTCTCAAATATCTTTACTTGTATTTAAGATAAACGGATATTTTTTCATTCAAATAAAGACAAGTGAACAAGCTTTAAGATGATACCAATAACTCGATGTGCTCAAAAATTGACGAGAGCCTGATTCCACCGCGCTGCCTCACATATGGCTATTTGGATTTTACTAAAAACTGCTGATAAAAGGCACAGAAATGTACATTTTCCGTATCCAGGGACTCTCAAGCATTAGAAGATACAAAGCTTTGGCAGCCATTTTCTCGCTTATTTTACATTTGAAATCAGGCGACCCCCACTTCCTTCAATCAAAATATCTCCAGCTCTATTAATGATAGATTTTTTAAAATCGGAAGATAGACAAATGAAAAAACTTTAAGATGACACCCACAACTCCACACACCCAAAACTTGCCGAGCACCTGATTCCACCGCGTCGTGACACATATGGAAGTCGCTGTTTTTCGTTTCACTAACGCCAACTTTTTTGTTTTAACCCTTTCAAGGCTGAAACTAAATTTGAACAGAGAAGAAAAATTGTTCATTCAATGGAGGTTGAGTCAAAGCTAAAATAACTTTCCCACTTCTTTTAAAATAAGTAACTGCCCATTGGTAGTTGAATTTCCTAAATCTCCCTCTATAGGCCAGTCGAAAAAAAGGTCAGTGGACCAGTTCTAGAGAACACAAGCGAGTACGTACGTCTACACAGAAGTGAAAAGGTTAAAACCAAGTTAAAGAAATTGTTCAAGGGAAGGAACAGGGGGGAGGGAGGGGGGGGAGGGGGGTAGTCGATTATGTTTTCTCAAAAAAGGGACGGGTGGGTGAGATTATATTTCCAAGGAGTGAAATTTTCTTTTCGTAAGCACTAAGACTATAATAAACTTCATATCATAACTTCGGCCTGATATCTGACACCTTTGAAAAAGTCATTTATTTGTTCCCGTCTTTTGAGGCAGTTTCGTTTCGAAACAATACTGCTATCGTCAAGGTATGTGATAAACATTAATTTTTTCGCGAATGTAAAAATCCCTATGATGAGATTATGTGTTTGGGCAGTAAACGGGTTGGTGATCTCGTAGTTAACGCACTTAGAGCAGGTTTATCTGATAATAATTATCAATAATTCCACAAATCATCTTGCTACTCAGAAAGCTTTTTAAGCTAACCGACTAAATTGTTGAAAGTCCTGCTTGCACGAATCCCGCGTCTCTCTCTCTTCTCTCTCTCTCTCTCTCTCTCTCTCTCTCTCTCTCTCTCTCTCTCTCTCTCTCTCTCTCTCTTTCTCTCTCTCTCCATCTCTTTCTTTATTTCTCTCTCTCTCTTTCTCTCTCTTTATATATATATATATATATATATATATACATACACACACAAACACACACACAAACACACACAAACACACACACACACACACACACACACACACACACACACACACACACAAACAAAGGTTATAGCGTCACGTGACCTCTGTTTCATGGAGAGAAGTATTTTGCAATATTGAGAGTGGCTGCCCCTGAACTAAAATTTATAAATAATTGAGGAAAAATTGAGTGTGTAAATGTAAAAAAAAAAACTTTAACAGCGCAGGCGGATTTTCCCCTTTTTTTGAGATGGTTATAAAAAATGTGACCTTTGATTTGAATAGAGGTAGCAATATAAATAGAAAAAATGTGCTAGTGTTTTTCCTGATCCAGTTAAAAAGCTGACCTACTTTCGAGAGATTGTATTTATAAACAGTTTATATGATCTAGGAGGCGAGCTACCCTCTTTTCGAACAGCTTCCAGGCTTTGGGCTCTAAGACAAAAATTGGTGGTACTGAAAATATCTGATCAATAAACCGAAAACCCCAAAAGTCTTACCTCCAACCCAATTTAACAACCCTTGTCTTTGTCTCGCCTTTTTCTAAAGACAGAGAAAAGGCCACTATCACCCTTGGAATCCCAAAAGCCACACTGTAAGACCCAAATCAAGAACCTGGGCTGTTGGGAAGCATAGAAGAGAGAAAAACAGACAATATTTTTTTGTTCCACACGCACATCGAATTCACAAATTGATCACGTTTTTCGAGAGGCTGGCCTAATCAGAAGCACTTTGAAATTTGAAGATGAAGGTCTCATGTGAGCCGAAATTGTGATCATAAGTGGGGTTGATATTTGTCAGGTTTTATTATT